ATGATGATGTATCAGAGAGACAAAATAATAATAATAAATATACAAAGGACCAGAGAGATGACTCAGCAGCTGAAGGTGCTTGCTCCCAAGTCTGACAGCCCGAGTTCAATCCTTGGAACTCACAGTGAAGGGAGAGCCTGTTTCTGGAAGTTGCCCTCCACCCCTGCACATGTTCTGTCTATACCTATTGCCCCAACACATACCATAAGTTAAAATAATAATAATAACAACACTTTTAGACCAAAATCACTAGCAACTCATGTTGTGGGGGTGCTAGAGATGTGGCTCAGCAGGTAAGGAGCAGTCGTTGCTCTTTCAGAGGGCCTAAGCTTGGTTCCCAGCACCCACATGGTAGTTTGTAACTATCTGTAGCTCCAGTTCAGGTCAGTCTAACCCCTGATTTTCTAACTTCCTTGGGAACCAGGCATGCATATGGTACACATATATATGTACAAACAAAAACTCATAAACTGCACCTGAAAAAAACTTATTAAAAAAGAGTTCACACTGTATGCTGGTGTGTGCAGTCAGGCTGAGGCTGGGGAGGTGAGTGCACAGAGCAGGTGTTCTCACCCTTCCATTCTTTTTTTTAATTTAAACAATTTTTTATTTATTACAGTTTTTTCACTTTGTATCCCAGCTGTAGACCCTTCCCTGTCTCCTCCCAATCCCACCCAACCTCCCTCTTCTCTCCCCATGTCCATCCCTCAGTCCACTAATAGGGGAAGTGGTCCTCCTCTTCCTTCTGACCCTTGCCTACCAGGTCTCACCCTTCCATTCTTAATGTAACATTTTCTGGAAATCAAAACTTATATTGTGTTATGAATAGGCTTTTAGTTAGGTCTAGTTAATACACAGTTGTAGAATTTTAAAAGGCTCTGTAACTGTCCTGGTAGGAATAAAGGTATTCTAAAAAGAGTCCACTGCCCACCTTTTTTTGTCAGTGAGACTACTGAAAGCATGGACTCACCTCAGTTTGTATTTCTACAAGAATCTTGTTTCTGGGGAAGTAAAAGCCTGGGAGCCTAGTGCCATTGAGTGTGTGTGTGTGTGTGTGTGTGTGTGTCTGTGTGTGTGTGTCTGTGTGTCTGTGTCTGTGTCTCCTGGAAAGAAGTGAGATCATATTGCAGGAAGCTGGAGCCTGGACAGTCATGATGCAGGGACCACACGCTAGTCAGGACTGCATAGCCATGCATGACTCTTGCCCTGTATTTAAGTCTGAAATTCATGTTAGGACCTCAGAGAAAGGATTGGATGTATTGAACCTTTCTTTGTTGAGGTACAGGTCTTTGGACATTTTGGGGGTATTTTTTTGTTCGTTTTTGAGACAAAGTCTTACCACTGTATAGCTTAGGCTGGCCTGAAACTTGTTATCTAGATCAGGCTACCCTGTAACTCATAGAGATCCACCTGCTTCTTCCTCCTGAGTGCTAGAATTAAAGGTGTGTGCACCGTAAAGCCCAGCTTATAAGCATTTTAAAAAGAAGGTATGCTAGGATACAGAAGTTATTAAGACAAAAGATTTGTTTCTCAAGAAATACTAAAGTTCAGAATGTGTGCCCAGCCTATAATCATACAAGTATTTCAAGGCAAGTCCATAATTCCAGAAGATGATATTAATATCTTCCTCCCAAGTGTTTGCTTAAGTAGGAGATAAGTTAGATTAAATATCCAGGGAGCTTAGGGCATGGGAGTAAAAGTATTTACTAGACCAGAGTTTATAGAAGTTTTTTGGTTTTTTTCAAGACAGGGTTTCTCTATGTAGCCTTGGCTGTTCTCCACTCTGTAGACCAGGCTGGCCTCGAACTCACAGAGATTCTCCTGCCTCTGCCTCCCAGAAGATATAAAGTTTTGGGGCCAGAGAGATGGCTCAACAGGCTGATGACTTGAGTGTGGTCCTGTAACACACATAATAATGGAAGGTGAGAATAACTCCAGAAATTGGCCTTTGATTTACTCACACACACATGTACTTTTTTTTTTTTTTGCCTCCACAATCAGCATTTGAAAAAAATGAGCAACTTGTCCCATAGTCATATATAGATTATTATATCTGGTAGATAAAGGAAATCCTTGCCTTGTCCGGGATCCAGGCACTGTGGGACACAGCTATAGTTCAAGCACTTGGCAGACTGAAGCAAGAAGAGAGAAAGGACTGTGTGCTCTCTGAGGAGCTAAGTTTTTATCTTGTCTAGGCATGTGTTGGAGCATATGCCATAGCCAAAATATGGTTAAGATTTTTGTATCTGAGCTGAGGAGTTGGCTCACTGGGTAAGAACACTCACTGTATAAAGATGAGAAACTGAGTTCAAATCCGCAGTACTGACGGCATAGTTGTGTATGTCCCTGTAATCTTAGTAGTCCAACAGGCAGAGAACAGATTGCCAGGGCTTGCTGGCTGCCAGCCTAGCTGCAGTTTTAGTGAGAGGCTCTGTCTCAGTAGAACACGGTAGAGCAGGGCATCCAATGTCCTCCAGCCTTTATGCATGTGACACCTGCATTCCCTCTTCCCATAAAAATGTGGGTCTGAATTTTAATTATATTCTAGAGTCACCATTTTAGTTTGATCTGTGGAGTGAGGCGTGTGTAAGGTGTCTGTGAGTGAATTAGGTTTATAGATAATGAACTGGATAACTTATGCTACAGTTTAGACTGCTGTTCTGGATTATTGCCATTCCATTTTAACAAATTTTTTTTTTATATATTTCTGGTTGTGAGCCTAGGATTTAATAGCTGAGCAATCTATCCACCCCACAGAATTATTTTTTAAATACATAGTGTGTAATGATGAAAGAATCAAAGGGGAGTGCTGCAGATATAAGTCAGTTGGTAGGGTGCTTGCCTAGCATGCACAAAATTCTGGGTTTGATCAGCATTACCATGTATACTGAGTGTGGTGGCACAAATCTTTGTTAATTCCAGCACGTGGGGGGTGGAGGCAAGAAGATTAGAAATTCAAAGTCCACCTTGACTACATAGTGAATTTGAGGCCAGCCTAAGACATGAGACCTCATTTTTTGTTTTTAAAGCCTTTATTCCCAGTATTTCAAAGGCAGAGGCAGGTGGATCCCTGAGTTGAAGGCCAGCCTGGTCTACAGAGCAAGTTCCAATTTAGCCAGGGCTACACAGAAACCCTGTCTTGGGGGTGGGGTGGAGAAAAAAAATGTGAAAATGTAATAAAAGCAAACTGTGATTTAAAAAAAAAAATGTAAACAGTATGAAAGGGTAAGGGAGGAGTACTGGTGGTACTCACCTATAATTCCGTAAATTCAGAGACTGAGTGGGAGGATTTCTGTGAGTTTGAGGCCAGCCTAGGCTATAAAGCAAGATCTTGTTTCAGGCAAGCAAACAAAACAAAAACTGGAAAGATGGTTCTCTGAAAAGACCCATGTAATAGGTGTTGAACAAGGTTGGATTTTGCTGTCACCTTCCCTGCAGTGGGGGAGGAGGCATGTCTTCTGAGTTCAGCATTTCCTACCAAGAGTTTGCTGACGTTGCTTTTGCTTACGTTCTGTTCGGAGATTGCCCCATGTCCAAATATCCTTACATTGAAGAACTATTTAAGAGAGTTCAGTGGTAGAATTCTTGTCTGCCCCACAAGAGATCCTGAGTTCCATCCCCCACACCTGTAAAACAGATTCAAATACCAGCAACAACAACGATTTACCTGGAAACAGAAGAATTATTTTGGAATCATAGAGATGGCTCTATGATTATTTGTGTTTAAGATTATTTGCTGTGGGTCCAAGCACTCATGCATCAAACCAGGTGTCCAGTGAACATCTGTATCTCCAGTCATCAGGAGGATGAAGACGGGAGGCTCGCTGGCTTTCAGCATGGCCAAGAAAACATGAACCCCAGGCTCAGGGAGAGACCCTGCCTTAAATGGGTGGAGGATAGGGAAGGGCCTCAGACACCTGGCCCCTGCATGTACACATACATAGAAGACACATACACAGAAATAAATAAGAAAAATAATGATTTTCTTGGTGTACATATCATTTTACCATTTGCTAAAGATGGGAGCAAGTTTGCATACTAATGAAAGAAACCTTAACTGCCTTCAAGTCATGCATCACCATTTCTGAACTGGATGATAAATGAGCAATTGCTAATGAATCTGTGAATATAGACCCTTTCCTGTTTTGTTCTGTTTTAAACTTTAGGATTATTTTCTCTGTGTGTGTTATGTATGACATGGGCAGAAGGGTGCACATGTCACCTCATGAGTAGATGTTAGAAGACAGTTTATAGAGTTGGTTCTCACTTTCCACCTTTACCTGGGTCCTGGAGACCAAACTCAAGTTTTCAGGCTTACATTATCTAGTGACAGGTACCTTTATCTGCTTAGCCATCTTGTCGGCTCCCTGTTTGGGATGAGTTTTTTTGCAGCAATCCCCTTGAGTCAGCCTCCCAAGAGCTGGCATTACAAGCATGCATAACTGGCTTTGACTATAGATCTGTTTAGGGCAGTGGTGTCTACTGTGAAGGGTGGTTATAATGACTTATGGAACACACACACACACATACACAGTTCTCCTTCCTCAGTGTCTGTTACATAGCATTTCTCATAGCAATGACAGCTAGTATCACTAGATTCATGTTTCAGAGAGTACTGTGGTCAATGGTCTTCCTGTGTATTTCCAGCATAGAATTAATGTATGACAGTTGACAGATGATAACTAAGTAATTCAGTTTCATTAGTGATTGATATTAAAGGAATGCTAAAGTTGTGTACAACAGACACTAAGAGTGCCACTGTCCACAGAAATTCATCAGCTGAACTAACATGACGAAAGGAATATTTCAGATACACTTCTGTGTTACAGGATGGCAGCTCCTGATTCATTCCATGGTAAGTTCTACTGATACTGTTTCTCAGAATGTCTAAGGTTCCCCCTAATTAGCACTGTATATAGTAGCACAGTGGTCTAAAGAAAAGCTTATGTTGCTGATTATGTTTTTATTTATTCTTCTCTCATATTTTACATCCTAAATGCAAAAACATGGAATACTTCAAGAATTTGTATGTCATTCTTGTGCAGGGGCCAAGCTAATCTCTATTGTTACAGTGATTTTTGAAAAAATACTCTGAAAAGGTAGTTCTCAGGAGAGATGGCTCTGCTGTAAAAAATACTTGTTGCTCTTGCAACCCCAGTTCAGCTCCTAGCACCTAAATGGTGGCTTACAACTATCTGTAACTCCAATTCCAAGGGATCCAGTGCCTTCTGACTCTGCGGGCATTAGGTACGTGTGTGACACACAGATATATGTGCAGGTGAGACACTAATACATATGAAATCTAAAAACATAAAGTAGTTCTATGAAAAGCTATTCAGGAAGTAACAGCTGTGAAGATTCTGAGTCTGCTTTGACCACAGGCCAGTGAAGGGGAGAGGGCATGTTTATATGATTCAGGGGTTTTCAACCAAGGGTCTAGTACTTGAAATGTGCTTTAAGGGTTTTGTTTTTAATTTATTGTGGTTTTTTTAATTTTTATTTTTTTCTTTTCTTTTATTAATTACACTTTATTCACTTTGTATCGCCCCCATAAGCCCCTCCCTCCTTCCCTCCTAGTCCCACCCTCCATCCCTTTCTTCACGTAGGCCCCTCCCCAAGTCCACTGGTAGGGGAGGTCCTCCTCTCCTTCCTTCTGATCTTAGTCCATCAGTTCTCATCAAAAGTGGCTGCATTGTCCTCTTCTGTGGCCTGGTAAGGCTGCTCCCCCCCAGGGGGAGGTGATCAAAGAGCAGGCCAATCAGATTATGTCAGAGACAGTCCCTCTTCCCATTACTATGGAACCCACTTGGACACTGACCTACCATGGGCTACATCTGTGCAGGGGTTCCTAGGTTATCTCCATGCCTGGTACTTGGAGTATGAGTCTCTGGGAAGTTCCCTGTGTTCAAATTTTCTGGTTCTGTTGCTCTCCTTGGGGGGTTCCTGGCCTCTCCAGCTCTTACTATTTCCCAGTTCTTACATAAGATTCCATGCATAATTTTTGTGGTTTTTTGCATGTATGTATGTCTATACATGTGCATATGTGGTGTGTGCATGTGGAGGTCAGAAGTCCACATTAGGTGTTTTCTTCAGTCATTTTCCACTCTTGCCTATCTGTCTGTCTGTCTGTCTGTCTATCTATCTGAGACAGGCCTAGACCAGGCTGGTTTTGATCTCATAGACATCCACCTGTCTCTGCCTGACAAGTGCTGGGATTAAAGGTTTGCGCCACCACACCCAGCCACTTTTTTTTTTTAAAGGAATGTCCATCTGTCCTTCCTTCCTTCTTTCCTTCCTTCCTTCCTTCTTTCCTTCCTTCCTTCCTTCCTTCCTTCCTTCCTTCCTTCCTTCCTAATTTTTTTGTGTGTGTATGTGTCAGAGAGAGACAGAGACAGACAGACACACAGAGAGACAGTGAATATAACTTTTAGGAGCCAGTTCTCTCCTACCTGGAATTGAACTCAGGTCGGTAGGCTTGGCAGCAAGTGCCTTTATCCACTTGCTGGCCCACAAATATATCTGTAACTTCTCTGGAGTATGTTAAAAGGGAAAAGATGAAGTTTTCATTATGAGTTTTATAACTGTGACAAAAGAACACTTTTTGTTTAGATTTATTTTTGTATATATGAGTATTTGTCTGAATGTATGTCTATCTATCATATATATGTAGGGCCCACAGAAACCAGAGGAGGGTGTCAGATCCCCTGGGACTGGACAATTGTGAGCTGCCATGTGGGTGCTGGGAATTGAACCTGGGTCCTCTGGAAGAGAAGCCATTGAACCATCTCTTAGCACTTTTTTTTAAAATATTTATTTATTATTATTTATACTTTGCCTCCATGTGTGCCTGCATGCCAGAAGAGGACACCAGATCTCACTATAGATGGTTGTGAGCCACCATGTGATTGCTGAGAAATGAACAGCCATTGTTCTTAACCTCTGAGCTATCTCTCCAGCCTAGCACTTTTCTTTTTTGAGATAGGGTCCGATGCAGCCCGTGAATTTGCTAGGTGTCTGCTGAGGGCTTTGAGTCTCTGGCCCTCCCGCTTCCATCTCGGGCTGGGGTGACACATATGCATTATCACACCCGTTTCTATGCTGAGATGGACCTGGGGCTTCATGCATGCTAGGCAAGTACTGTACTGCCTGAGCTAGAGCCCCAGCCCCGATAAAGGAACATTTTCAGGAAGAAGCATCCTTACTTGTGAAATGAGCTTGTTATTAATAAATAGAGTTATCTAGTAAGCAGCGTGCCTTGCCCTCCTTCTTTCAGGTTGTAGGTGGGACAAGACTGTTGTAGCACTCTGTGGCACATGGGGGTGGGAAAGAGCACTCAAATGTGTGTCTGACAAAGAGGAGGGAAACAAGGGAGGGAGAAAGGAAGGAGAGAAATGGGTTGAGAGACACAGAACAAGAAAGATGGAGAATGGGAGGGAGGCAGAGATCAGTATGGCGTTAGATTGATTACACAAGGCTTTTGTAGTTCAGTGGAATGACTTCTGTGTTTTTGAATGAGAATTCTGATCAACTGAGTATTCATACCTCTTCCTTTTTCCATAAGGTCTTTCAGGGGACTCAGTCTGCTTGCAGAAAGAAGTATCAGCAGAAAGGATGTTAGTTGACTACCTGACAAATTATCAGGTAAACAAACACACACAATCTCTCCCCCCTTCTCAAAATGTCTGTCTTGTAGACAGTTTTCTTTTGATAAACTTATCTCTAGAGCTGTTTAAAGCAAATAGAGCCTCCCTCAAGGATCTAGTTTCTTGTTCAAGTTTCCTGGGAGACAGAGCCTGTCTTCGTTTGCCTTCTGTGGCTGTGATAAACACTATGACCAAAAGCAACTGGGAGAGAAGAAAGGCTTCATTTCAGCTTTTCAGTTCTCAATAATCCATCACTGCCAAGGCAGGAACTTGGGGCAGGAACTGGAGCAGAGACCAGTGGTGGAATCTATTAACTGACTGGCTCATGCCCTCAGCTTGCTCAGCTGCCTTTCTTACACATCTCAGGTCCACTTGCTCAGAATGATAACACTCAGAGTGGTTTGGGCCTTCCTTCATTAATCAGGAACCAAGAAAATCTCCCACAGGCCGCTCTGGTCTATAACGACATTTGTAGGTGCAGAAGAACGTGTACCCATTGAAATAAATTAAAGCACATAGTCAAGATCTCATACTTTACCATAAGCTCACACAGCTTATTTCACATCAGGAAACAGACAGACAGATTCAACAGTATGACAAGACACTGTTTATGTCAAGTGTCTGTTTATGGCAGTTTCTCAGTTGAGGCTTCCTCTTCCCAGATATCTAAATTTGTATCAAGTTGACAATATCTCTAATAAAAACTGTTCCTATTAAGTAAGTTGGAAGCCAGTACATTTTCTGTAGATGTTCGGTCACACTTCTTCATCTTCCCATATTTATTAGCAAAGATCTTATTTGCTCAAACCAGCATGTCTGCAATATTTCAGGGGTTAGTGCGCTTTGAGGATGTGACTGTGGACTTTACCCAAGAGGAGTGGACCTCACTGAACCCAGCTCAGAGAACCCTCTACAGAGATGTGATGTTGGAGAACTACCAGAACCTGGCCACAGTGGGTAGGACTGCTGTTGCTACTTGTAGCCCCTCATGGACTCACTGTGTTCAGCAATGGTGATGGCAGCTCTGAAGAAGACACAGATCCATCCCCAAATACATTCTCTTGTTTTGTTCGAGCTGGAGGATATTATTTTAGCCTTGCTGGGCTGGAACTTGAGATCTAAAATAGGCTGGCCTCTAACTCAAAGAGATTACCCTTGTCTCTGCCTTCTATGTGCTGGGGAAAAGGTGTATACTACCCTAAATATGTTTTAATCTATTGAGGTGGTTTTGGGAAAGTCCAGGGTCTCTCTTTATATTTTTGCTGGGTGTGGCGGCACATGCCTCTAGTCCCAACTTGGGGAGGTAGAGGCAGGTAGACCTCTGAGTTTGTGCCCAGCCTGGTCTACAGAGCAAATTCCAGGATAGCCAGGCTGCACAGAGAAACCCTGTCTTAAAACCCTGTCTCCCCCACCCCCCAAAAAGTATATATTTTTTTCTTTCCACATTTGATAGACTAAATCAGAAACCTGAGTGTAAATCTTATGCCATTTATGTGCCAGTAAGTTCTCGGGGGTTTGAGAGATGGCTCAGTGGTTGAGACACCTTGCTTAACAACAATGAGGACCTGCTTTCAGGGCCCCAGCACCTATGGAAAAAGCTGGGTGTGGTCTTGTAGACACCTGTAACCCTAGTGTGGAATAGAGGGGATGGTGAAATGAGGATCACTGAGACTTGCTGGCTGCTAGCCCAGCTGGAAAAGTACAAGCCAAGGTTCCAGGAGAGACTGCCTTAAGGAAATAAAAGACAGAGTGATAGAAAATAGCAGCTAACACCCTCCTTTGTCCTTTGCATATGGGCACAGGCATGCACGTCTGCCACACATGTGCGTATACCACATACCATATACCACACACATACATACACTTAAATACATATATTTCATTAAAGGTGTTGGAAAGATGGCTCGTTAAGGAAGCTGGTTACTGCTTAAGCATTCCCGACCCTAGTTAGATCCCCAGCTTTCATGTAAAGGCCAGGTGTGTTGTTAATCACTGCACCCACAAAAACACACCACATACATGAGCACATATACACACAAACAAAATAATAAGTGCATTAGAAATTTTAATTATCTTGATGACTATGATGAATAATGGTTTATATGAACCACTTGTAGTTACTTTCCCTATAGGAACAAAGATCTCTTTGTTGTGATTCTCTTACTTCCTGTTTGGATAAAAGTAAAGGCCTGGGCTGAGATATGACTCAGTGGCCAACCATCTACCTATCACATGAACCTTGGGTGCTATCCTAGGGCTGTAGAAAGCAAACCCTAATGCTCTATAAATGTTCATATGACTAAATTAAAGTTTTAGGCTCCAAAACAACTAAACTTTTGAGGCATAGACAGGTAGTACTTGCATTATTAGCCCCTGAAAATAGTTTCTCTGTTATCACTACAACTCAGGTTCCTGGCCAGGCTTGATGGCACACTTCTGGAATTCAAGCACCTCCAAGG